TTTTTTTAATTAGTATACGAGAAAACAAGACATATTTCGTAGGAATTAAATCTCACCAGATCACTGATAAGAATTAATAGACCCCCAATTCTATTTAAGCTTCCCCAATTAGTTTGTCTACAATTTAAGAAAAATTTTTAATAAAGATAAAACATACATAACCGGACTGAATGGGACTTAAAGGAGTAATGTCATCACCATCCTGATCGATGTCACCTCCGTCTAATTCTGCCATCTGCAGCATATTTAAAGAACTTAATACTTAGTTACTAGTTACTCATGGTATACTTATTTCTTATGATACACAAAAGTTGTCACTTATGATATGGTTGTCCATAACATCATTAGTTTCTACTACCATCTCAAAATTCTTATATAGCCTGAAGTCGTAGCCATTTTTTTACTTAGTATACAAGAAAACAAGACATATTTCGTAGGAATTAAATCTCATCAGATCACTCACTAAATTTATGGATCCCCTGATTCCACTGAAGCTACCCCAAATAGTTTGTCTACAATTTAAGAATGAATTTTTATGAAGATGAACGTAAAATATACATAATTGGACTGAACTGGACTTATAGGAGTACTGTCATTACCATCCTGATTGACCTCGAAACTTCCAGATCCATGTTCGGCGATATCACCTTCTTCCAATTCTGCCATCTGCAGCATATTGAAGAACTTAATACATGATATACTTATTCATAATACTAGTAATTCCTACTACCGTCCCTAAATGAGTGCTTCTATTCACGTGCAACCTCAAACAGTAATTAATTCTTTTACTTGATGTACGAGAATACACGAAATTTTTAGTAAGGATTAAATACCACCAGGTCATTGCTTGAAATTTAGAGATTATTAAAAATTTAATGCAAGGAATTTGTAAAGTTAATTCGAGAATTGAGCCTTTATCGTGTAACTAACTCTTTGAAAATGTCATAAACTAATCTGTTCTTTCACAGAATAACAAATGCATTAAAAATGAACAATATCATTAGTACTAGAGACAGTTGAAGAATCAGAAATGAGAAATTTCTCGCAATTGAAAGTTCCAGAAAAACGCTTCCGGATTATTTACCATTATACAGAAATCTTCCGATAACTGCATTACATTCAATAGCGCTCCCCACCGAGACTACCAATGGTATCGATATGAAATTTCGGAATTCCAGATTGCGTGATATTTCCGTGTCAATCAATTCGTTGTTGATGCAATTTGGATTAGAAAAAAGTAGTTTCCAATTGATTTTAAGAATTGAAATTAAATTAAACAGCGAAATGGTCAAAAAATTGTGTTCAAAATTTTGAAATGTACTTTTGATAAACATTTATTCGTATACCTTTATGTTATCATCACGACATTGTTGTATAATTTGCCAGTTGTAATCTTATCACTATGATCTTCACAATCTTATCATTATAATCTTATCACAATGACTACACTTTGATTGTATCGAAGAAATGCAAAGTAAAATATTTTTAAAATTCCCAAATAAGTTAAGAATATACGATAAAATGTTGCCCTAACAAAGGTATAGCACTTTAAAATTCATTTATTTCTTTCAATATATTAATTAAATACTCGTTTAACTAACATATTTAAAGAAAAAACTGAATTACTAATATTACCAATATTTGTTTTTTCACAACGGCCCTATATATACTTCATAAATCAGTTTTCATTTTTAATTTTTTTAACAACAAGTACTTATTAAGCTGATTAATATCATTGATAATGTTGCTGCTATCATCCCTAAGATTGAAATCCTTTGTTTAAACTTATTTAATTTCAAATACCTTCCCACAAATCTAATTTACAATTTTTTCAAAAATTCATACAAAATTTTAAAATTTAACGGAAAAAAAAGATATCACCTTGAATTTTGGTAAACTTTTTTAATAATAATGTACCAAAAAAAAGCATTTATCTTATTTCATATCCATTTTTTTGTTAAAGAAAAAAAAATGATATCATAGATGATAATCATTACGTTGATATGAATTTATAATATGATTGTTAGCTAATTAACATAATTTTTATTTTAGTTAAAGTTTGCAACCATTTTACAAATGCATTTGAAGTTTTCCAGCCCTTTTTCACTTCATTACTAAACATTCAATCCACTAGGCCAAAAAAAAAGAAAAAAGGAAAAGAAAAACGAGTCACTAGAATTACTTTTCTACAAATTACTTTTTGATTTAAAACCAATCGAATCAGTTTGAGTACGACAAACTGTCAAAGTACACGAATAAAATCCTATATTATATATGAGCCACATTAATTAGCATTGAAAAGTTCTAACTCTCTTAATAACTAAGATATCCGATAACATTTCTACAAAATAGTATATTCTCAATTTCAGCTATCATCATATTTATTGTTTTATTGTGCTTTTACTAGCTAATTAGGCAAATTTGATAAGATAAAAATTGCATAAGCCAAGATTTATCATACTCTCATTGAGTCAATAGCCAAGCTTTTTTTTATTGTCAGTAAAATTTAAGCATTATCAGCATCCTAATGTTTCAAGCTTGAAGCTTGAAGTTTTGGAAATGTTTGGAATTTACGAGAATAATCAATAATTTCTTTGTTGCATCACTCGGTACAATAATGTAAAATATAAGCTAAGATTGTGTGTGTTCATTGTATTTATGTGCTAACAAAGATGCTAATTCTTGTAATCTTAGAACTATACCAGTATCCTCCATGTTCAGGAATGATTCGAGGACTGTACCAGTATCCTTTCTGTTCGGGAAAGATTCGGGGAAGAAGGAGGTCCTGAGTGCTAAAATCATTTTACAAATGTGTTACAGTGAGATTGGTTCGATAAGTAGATATTAAGCGGCAATGGATTTCGTTTTCATATTGTTATCAGCATTAATTATCAGAATCATAATTGCTGAATTCGTTGTTGTATTACTAAATTTGTGTAATGAAGGTTTGACTACGCAACTTTGAGATATTATCAACCAAAAAGGTTGAAGTTATAGTTGAAGAAAATCATCCATATCCTATTTTGCATATCATTAGATCATCATTTGATTTCAATCAATTTCTGGCATTGTTGTAATTGGCTACAAAACCGGGAAACGATTAGTATTACAATAGTATTACAGTCAGAATTACAGGACATATAAAGATGATGCAAGTTCAATTATCATTGTTGATAAAAAGCAAATTGAATTTTGTTACAAAAAAAGAAAAGTATTCCTCCTTTTCTGTATTATAATATTACTGTTAGTTTGATTAGCAAAAATAAAATTTTGATTAATGTTTATTTTTAAATCAACAAAGTTTATCATTTCTGAACTACTTTTTTATAAAAAAAAAAGAAAAACAGTCTTTTTTCTATATTAATGTGATCCCTTGTGAAAAAAGCTAGGAACCATTGTAGTATGATATAGTTGAAAACTATTTACGAAATATCATTGCTATTACGATATATGATGGAACGTTCCTTCGAACAGCTCTTCCGGTTAACTGCTATACAAGAATTTATGAATGTTTTCAATGAAGGATTGTATATCTTAACCTTTGACTTTTGAACTTTTTAGTAAAACTGTAAGAAAAATTGGAATTATCATGATAGAAACGATTACGCTAATGGATGAGAGAAGAAAGTTAGAAAGAATGAGAGCCATAAAAGAAGAATATGCCATTTCTATGAGTGTCATTAATGTCCGAATAATTTGCTTATCATATCAGTGTATCAATATCTTCTTCAACACAATTCCAAAGTTACTATCATTCAAAAAGTGACATATGACGACATTTGTGCATAAATTACCAATTGTAATATGTCCTGCTCCGAATGTAACTATTACAAGAAAATCCGGGAAAATTGCAGAAAAATCGTTCATAGTTATCAGGAATCTATAATTTGAAAAAAAAAATTCTTTTTGTTGAAAGTTAAAATTTTTAAGTAAGACTAAGAAAGTTTTCTCTTACTATTCATAAGTAAGAGTTAATCATTCATTGGATTAATGAATTAATTTGAAATGCACAATATTTAAGAGAAAAAGGTGAGAATAAAAAATGACAAAAAAAAGTATTTTATTTGAAATTTCGAACTAATAAAAAAAATGTATCACTACTGTAAAATGGTAGATATCTTATCAGTGTATATCATTTATTGCTCATAGTGTTTTCGATTATACCTCTGTTATAAACTGATATGGAAAATGCTTCATTAAGATTTAATAAACGGAAAAAGCATAGCATGAAACACTAAATTTAACTATTTGGCAGTATGTAGTAGCATGTACGATAAATGTAAATGAATTATCAGTGCAAATCACGTTGAAATCACGTTTTAACTTCTGTTCGGCAGATTTCTGAATCAATTGTTTTGAAAGTGCCAAATTGGTTGATAAATTCTGAAAGAAAAACAAAAAAAGTGCAAAATATTAGGTAACGTATTATATATATATATATATATATATATATATATATATATATATATATATATATATATATATATATATATATATATATATATATATATATAT